CAGCTGATGGGGCTGTTCAAGGGCAGAGACTGATCAATTTCTCTGGGCTCCTTAGCACCCAGTATTTGGACATCAGTGTCCGATAAGGGTTTGGGAGATGATGAGATGATGTTTCTGCAGCTCAGGGGGCATTTAAAAATTTTTTCTAACACCATTTATTCATGGCTGGTTCTAGCCCTTGCACTCTACTGCATGCTGGCAAAACAAACAATGCTAAACACAGACAAGATTCTGCTTCCTGTTGGGGGTTACCGGCTGGTGAGTGAGGAGGACACCGTCTCCCACGCGTGCGCCCCAGCTGAAGGACATGTTAACACTTTCACCCAGCAGGAGAGAAGCCTTTCACTGAAATACTTTCCACGGCCCTAATAAAGTGCTCCCAACCCCTGTCTTCTAAAGTTATTTCTCTTTCCACCATGCCCTGTGTCTAATGAGGTGATCAAACCGAGCCTGGCTAAGACAAGGCCGGCCACTGCTGTTCCCTGGACATCCAAGTGAGCCTGACTCTCTCTCCTCCGCGAGCCTTCCTGTTCCCGTGCGCTGTTGGGAAACAGGAAGCCAGTGTCTTCATTAAACTGTCCACGGTGATTCACAGGCGCCGTCCCCAGAGCCTACACATAACTCAGAAGCCATCAGCTCGCTGGGGACAGGCGGCTTCAATCGCTCCTTCCAGGACACGTTACCTCGCATCTGCCGGCTCAGTTTTATTGGCCGCCCTGGGGTCCAATTACTCTGCCCTACTCCGTGCCCTTCCGAGGATCCTGGGCCCCCGCCCCACTGCTTAACAGCTAAGGAGTGTGCTGGTCCCTGCTGGTGTTGACAGCGAGTCCACTCTATGCAACATTACTTACCGCCTCTGTGAGATGAAGTGCTCTCACAGGGGAAATCATAAGACTTCAGGGCAAACCAGGGGGTAGCAAAATGAGCTGTCCGTCCCTAGCAGTCCATGGTCACGGAGAAGAGTCAGAGCCAGGGACGGAGCCCAGATTTTATCAGTCAACCTAAAACACTGCTCCCCCCATATTCCAGCTCCCCCTCCGAAACTCCCTGGCTCCTTCTCTTCTTCTCCCTGCTCTTCTTACAGAGGAGAAGGCTGGAGCTGGAGCAAGGGGCACACGCACACACACACACACACACACCAGGCAGGGAGTAGGCAGGCTGGGATGGGTTTGTTTGACGAGAGCCTGCAGAGGGAAGCCAGTCTGGGGTTGGGGAGAGCTTGAGTGAGGACAACTGCTGCCGAAACCCTTGCTGGAAAAACTCGGGCCCTAGGCTGCCTGCCTGTGCCTCCCTGGGCGTGCAGCGGTCACCTGATGCTCAGAAAATCACTCCCACGCTCACCCAAACCTCGGACGAACGCCTGTGCCCTGGCTCCTCCTTGGCCCGCCAGCCCTGCGGCTCAGGCGGCTCCTGCGGCTTAGAGCGGCTGTCACTCAGTCTAAACAGTATCGCACCTCCCACCTTGCTAAGTACGGGCTGAGTATCACCAGCTAAAGGTCTGGGGACCAGAACTTTGGGATTTAGAATTTTTTTCAATTTCGGTATATGCTCATACACGTAATGTAATTTCTTGGAAATGCATTTATGCTCCATATGCACCTGATTGTACATGTAGCCTGAAGGTAATTTTACACAGCAGTTTTCGTCCACCAGCATTTTGACTGCAACCTGTCCTAGGAGAGGCCGGGTGTGGAACTGTCCACTGGGGGTGTCACGTCCTGCTCCCAGTGGAATGTTGGAGCATCTTTGGTTTTGGATGTTGAGATCAGGGATACTCAATCGGTATTTAACCTGGACGAACTCATTTAATCGTCACAGCCACCCCAACAGGAAACAGCAGCTGCTAAGATCACCTTCATTCTACTGATGAGGAAAACTCAGAGAGGTGAAATCGTTTTCTCAAAGCCACACAGCCAGCTGGCTGTCCCAGCGCGAGCTGACACGGGGGTATGGCTGCAGCAACCCTGGACCGGTTGACACGTCCCGGGCCAGTCCCAACCAACCTCTTGCGTCAGTGAGGGTCATAGGCGTACTCATGGCTCCCCGGAACACCTGGAGCTTCTAAGGTACCCCAGTGTTTGTGCTGGGGATGCACACTTTCCGCTTTCTCTTTAGAAAAATGCTCCCAAGTGGCAGTAACAGCACAGCCAGCATAGGAGACGGAGAGCCCCTCTTTTTTTAACTGCTTCAATGCATTTAGGTGGCTGGCAACATATTGCTGCCAAGAAACGCCAGCTGTGCCACTAATAACAAAGGCAATAAAAACAGCTAACAGTCATTAGACACCTGTTATGCACATCGCCGTGTTCAGCCAAGTAGGGAGTTGGGTTGTCTTCACATTGGAGGCACAGAGAGGCTGTGCTTTGTCCAAGGTCACACAGCAGTCAATAGCAGAACCAGGTAACCCTGTGCCTCTGATTTGAGCCTCTCCCAAGCCAGGTGAGCGTCAGCCATTCAGACAGGCAGATGGGCAGCTGTCACATCCCGGAAACTTGTCATGAGTCAGGCGAGGGGAGGGACGAGGAGCCCAGGGTGGACAGGGCAGGGTGGGCGACGGTGGGGGCCCAGTGCCAGGGCGATGGGATATTGGAGGAACACAGAGCGTCAGGAACAGGATGAGAACTTGGAGCAGGGAGCTAGGAGAGGAAGAGAGCTAGAGTGGCCAAGGACAAGCGAGGTCAGCCTCGCAATGCTGTAGCAGCTCCAGTTCTGTCTCTGGCCTGGTGGCCGCCTGGTGGCTGCCTGGTGGCCGTGCCCCGTGGATCTTGCCATGGGAGACATTTGGGCAATGGAGAGGGAGGAATCGCTTTGAACTTTACTTGGTGACTAAGGTAGTGTGTGTGTGTATGTGTGTGTGTGTGTGTGTGTAAGAGATGAGTGGAGAATGCCAAATAATTCCAATTTTGCCATTCTGGGCTGTCACAGTGCACCCCCAGGGCAGCGATTTTGGTCTGTTTCTGCCCATTCCGCATGCACAATGGCTCTGTCAATCGCTGTTCAAGTCACAGAGCTGAGGTTTTGTCTCCCCCAAGCTCTCCTGCTTACCACGGCTCGCTCTTTCCCCTCCAGAGAAGTGTGCCATCCTTTTATTCATAGGGCTTTGCTACCACTTCCATGACGTCCTTCTGATAATCTCAAAGGAGCGCTTGCCGCTGATGGCGAGTTACAGCCGGGACCCTTTCTTGTAACGGGGCGAGTTCAGGCGCTTCTAACTTTTAATTCTTCTTAAAATGAGCGTACAACTTCCTACCATCCCCACTTGGACATTTTGCCAACCCACATTGCTTTAGCTTTGTTACTTACCAGTAACAAGTGCATGAGACACATTTTGGGCTTAAAAAACTCCACTTCGTTCAGTGCCTGACAATAGTCGAGAGACCCTTCCATTGCCTCCCACAGAGACCTTCATAAATACCCTTTCCATCTCATTTGGACTGCGTGGACCCCAAGGAAAAGGGAATTTCTTTGAGACCTTGACCTCCCTGTAACCGGCACGCAATTCAGCTGTTCAGGGCAGGGAGAGAATCATGCGGTCGGTCTATTTAAACCATTGCAGCTTACTTCTGTTTCTATCTCTGAATACAAAGGGAGCGCACGGGGGCCAGGGATGTGGTGCAGTGGGCAAAGCCTCCATCTGTGATGCCAGCATCCCTCATGGGCACCAGATCGAGTCCTGGCTGCTCCATTTCCAATCCAGCTCCCTGATGATGCACCTGGGAAGGCAGTAGAAGATGGCCAGAGTGCTTGGGTCCCTGCTACCCACACAAGAGACCAGATTGGAGTTCCTGGCTGCTGGCTTCAACCTGGTGAAGCCCTGGCTGTTACAGGTGTTTGTGGAGTGAACCAGTGGAAGGAAGATCTCTCTCTCTCTCCTCCTCTGTCTCTTCCACACTCTCTGTCTTTCAAAGAAATAGATAAATATTTTAAAAATGGAGCACACAGTCAAAGAGAACCCCTGTTTTCCATGCAAGGAGCAATCCTATATCACAGAGGTAAAAATAGATTATGGTTAAGGGCCAGAGGCACTTGGGGTCTACTTGCACCTTACCAGATGTGTGACCTTGAGCAAAGCTCTCTGGCCTCAGTTTCCTGATCTGTGAATGGGAATATGACCAGTGTCTACCTGGTAACACTGTTAAAACAATTATATAAGATCATGTGTACAGAGTGTGGGGAGCAACTCGGACTAGACTAAGTTACTGGAATTAAGACTTATTCTATGCATCTGCTCTCCCACAATATGGCGCTGGGAGAGGAGGAAACAGCTTCTACACAGCTGCCTCCAGTTCAGCTAATAAACTGTAGGACTTGCTCCTGATTGGAGGAGAGCAGCGTACTCGGCGTGTGGGTAGCAGAGTTGGGATTGGTGGAAGAGGACTATAAAGGAGGAGAGAGACGGCATGCACCAGGAACATCTAAGAGGGAACATGTATCTGAGGGAACACCTGTGCAGCCCCCGAGAGAGCCGGCTGGCGGTGTGCCGCTCCCCCGCGGCCCCAACCCGGGAAGAACCAGCAGCAAACCCGGGAAGGGCAGAGCAGACAAAAGAACAACGCAGGGTCCAGTGTCGCTCCTCCATGAAGAGGGGGAGAGACACAGAGATTGGTATACAGCAAGCACGTAATTAATGATAGCTATGTTACTCTTCGGACACTGATGCAGAGAGTGTTCACCTTCAATACCTCTGCTATAAGCTACACCGTGAGCTCTCGAAGGCAGAAAGATGCTGAGATAGTCCTAGGCTGCAGCTAGAACCAGTCTTTCTCAATTGCTGTTGTCTTCATGGGTGATCAGTTCTTATTCTGGGAACTCACCTGCCCATTCAGTGTCATTTCTGATTCAGGAACTAAAACATTTCTTTGACAATCAGATATTTCTGCCTAGAGGAGATATTTCTGCCAGAGGAGAATGGAAAAGTAGGCAGAGAATGTCTGTGCTGTGGCGCAGGTGCAGTCCACTGTAATGTGATAGCAATAAATGCCCCTGTTTAACGGACTCACCACACCGAGTCCTTGGTGAGTTTGGAGCTCACGTTCCCGTCTTCTTCCAGGAAGATGTCCATTTGCAAATTGGCATCATTATCGTGGGCCGAGGAATAATTGGTAATGACTCTTGCTGGTATTCCAAGGCATCGTAGGACTACAGGAAAGAACAGACCACGCACTTAATAAACACATAGCAAAGACTCCTTTCTCGCATGCGACTTCTTTCTTTACCAACACAAAACACCTCCCCAAATACTCCCTATCGAAGGAGGACCATTTCCAGCCCCATGGGCACTGCAGAGACAACTCTTGTTCTGCCATCTTTCAGCGCGGCGACTGGGACCAAGGGCAGCCAACTGCAGCATGGTCCTGGAAGCAGACCCCACGTGTTTCTAATCATGTGGTCATCGAGGCAGTACTTGAGTCCTGTTAGTGGGGTCACGCTGAAGGAAACAGCCACAGGGCGCTAACAGTGTCCAGAGCTCGTCCTCGGTGGACCCTGCACTCCCAGCTGGAACTCTGTTGTGTGACACTCAGCGGAGGGTGACACTACAGATTCATTTTAACTGTTGGGTAATGAATTACCTGGCAGCATCTCTTGCCATATGTACCTATCGATTAAACTTAATCCAAATGCCCTCCCTGGCTCCCAGGACGCCAGACATCAGGGCTCATTGGAAATAATTTGGCTGACAATTTTAAGATTAATGACTTGGCCTGCCTTTTTTTTTTTCCCTCCCTCTGAATAGTTTAGCATTTTTAAGCAAAGACTATGCATCCCCTTCAACAGAACAACCTTGGAAGTCCAAACTTGAGTCTGCGAGAGAGACAGCAATGCTCTTTCCGGCCGGACCTGACCCCTGACCTCAACGCCCGAGACGACAGTCGTGGCAGCCACCCCCGCCACCCATCCTGCCCTTCCTCTCTCCGCCTGCAGCCCCTACCAACACAGCCTGCCCGTAGAACAGAGGGCGCTCTGGTTCTTCTTCTGACTCAGCAAAGTGAAAGGTGATGTTTGACTTCTGACTCAGCAAAAATCCACGGTATGACAGTGCGAGACTTGTTCTGGAGTCTGCCTTCCTCATGGCTTTCAGACAGGTGAGGCTCGCCCTTGGGGCCCCTGGTCCTCCTTCCATCCTGTGTCCTGCTTCAGGTGCATCTCACTGTGCCTTCCCTACACCCCGTCTGCTTTTTCTCTCTTTCTTTTTCTTTTTAAAAGAGTTATTTACTTATTTGAAAGTCAGAGTTAGAGAGAGAGAGATTGAGAGAGATCTTTCATCTATTGGCTCACTCCCCAAATGGGAGCAATGGCTGGGCTGGCCTAGATTGAAGCCAGGACCCTGGATCTCCATCCGGGTCTCCCACATGGACGGCAGGGGCCCAGGCACTTGGGCCGTCTTCTGCCACCTTCCCAAGGTGCGTGAGCAGGGAGCTGCATTGGATGCCGGGCAGCCAAGACTCATGCCGGCACTGCAGTCGGCCGCCTAACCCGCTGTGCCACTGCGCTGGCCCCTCTGCTTTTTCTTAATTTGCCACAACACAGGGACTTCAGGCACAGATCTGATGACACTTTTTTACACAAAACACAACAACGGACGTGCCCTCTGGTTCTCAGTACGACGTGGCTGCGGGCACGGCGGGGCTGGGTCTTTTCCGTTTGCATGCAGAAATTTTACAAGGGCGGCTGCCTGGCTGCGGAGCTTTGAATGGCTTGGCTTGGGAGTCCTAAGGGAGGGGACGCCCTCTAACCTTTGCCCATCGCGAGATTCCAGCTTCTCTCTAGAACTCCTAGAGACTCCTAGGAGACCACACTTTGGGCTTTCATTGTTCCCCGGAAACAGATGCTCAGCTAGCCTTGGGTCTACATGTTTATGTGTAAGACTAAGAAAACAGTCTTGATCAGATCCTGGGAGGAAAGAAAACAACTTGCAGCCCATCTACCTGGATCGCTGTTTCTTAGGACTGTCCCAGTTTTGAACTGAAACACACAGGTTTCACATCGTTCTAAGAAGTGGCCTCACCCCAGGCATCAGCCCCCAGCCCCTTTGCTATGGTTTGAGTAGGACATGGATCACGAACTGCAGCAGACATCAAACCCCAAGGCCGTCACTGCATGGCTCCAAGGGAGTAGAAGCTGAAGTCAGCAGAGGTGTGGAGGAGGTGGGCCCGGTGCGGAGCCCTTGCACCCGTCACGGGGGGCGTGATGAGGGGTCTCAGGAAGCTTGAGTATGGCTCAGCTTCTGCTGCTTCCTGCCGCACGGTGTGAGCCCTCCTCTGCTTTTCCCACCACTGCCATCCTCCAAATAGAGGCTCCACCAGTGCGGCTGCCAGACCTTCGACTGTGAACCTCCAAATCCATGAACCAGAGAAAACCCACTTCTTTCAGAAAGCCTGCACTTAGTGATCACGACTGACAGCCGACTATCACACCCTCCCAGAACACTCTTTGTTAATTAGGAGGAGAAAGGACAGTCCACCCTGTGCCTATTGTCTCTCCAAGACTGGAGAAGTGACATGTGAATGAAATCATTACCAATGATGAAGACACACTGAAATCAATGTATCTTTAAAAATATTCACTGAATTCACTACAGTGCTCTCTGGGCTAAGAGAGGCAAATGCCATTTTGAAAAATGATGCATGAGGCTGGAGAGAATAATTCTGTTCCCATATGTTTTACTCTGCGGATGGGATATTGGATGGATTGAAAACAGGAGGGCACCCTGGGGAGGTAAAGATTGTTCACTATGCTCTGGCATCTAATTGCTCAGAGGCACTGGGACCCAACTGCAGAGATGGGGATGAGATCCCTTGTCACAATCCCGTCGATAGCAGGGATAAAAATTACGGATATATTTATACAACTTCCCAATAACAAATAAGCAGGTATGCATCTTTCCTTATCATTTACTATTTTAGCTTAATCTTTTTGAAAGGTGGCATCCTCACTTGACCTCCATGACCCTCCTTTTCTCTCGGTGTTGAGTGATGGGATACCTGGGAAATAGCCCATCATTCTTTCTGTCTGGATCCCACAGCCAGAGAGAGACTCTGAGCCGATTTGGCCCAGCAAAATTTAATTATGCATTGACTAGATTCCCAGAATACTCACCTGTAAATTCTATAGGGCCAACAGGGACTACCAAATCTCCTTTCCAGTTTATAGATAACATGACTTGAAGTGAAATTTCCTTTGCATTCAAAACAGATTACTCACTTGGATACTTACATGTGTTAAAGACACCGGCAAACACCCAGCACTGGCCATACCGGACTGGGTTCTCGGAGCTCCGGTATTCCAGTAGAATGTCGACACTTCCAGTCCAGGCCGATGGTGGGACACCATAAGCGTAGATGTTGTCCCAGGATCCAACGATGACACCCTCATCATCTTTAGCATTAATCTAAAAAAGTTATGAGGCATAACAAGGAAGAAATGTCAATTAGATGGGTCCTCTCCAAGCTATGGCTCATGTAAGTTTAAGCTTCCAGTGCCTTCCATGTGTCCTGTATGGTTAAAACAATGCCGCTGCTGTCCAATTTACTGACGTGTTTCCTGGGAAGGTGATGCAACAACTAAGCATGGGAGGGAAAACCACATAATCAAGACTGCCTTTTTTTTTTTGACAGGCAGAGTGGACAGTGAGAGAGAGAGACAGAGAGAAAGGTCTTCCTTTGCCGTTGGTTCACCCTCCAATGGCCGCCGCGGCCGGCGCGCTCATGCCGGCGCACCGCACTGATCTGATGGCAGGAGCCAGGAGCCAGGTGCTTCTCCTGGTCTCCCATGGGGTGCAGGGCCCAAGCACCTGGGCCATCCTCCACTGCACTCCCGGGCCACAGCAGAGAGCTGGCCTGGAAGAGGGGCAACCGGGACAGAATCCGGCGCCCCAACCGGGACTAGAACCCGGTGTGCCGGTGCCGCTAGGTGGAGGATTAGCCTAGTGAGCTGCGGCGCTGGCCCAAGACTGCCTCTTAAATAGTGTATTTTGTAGAAAGATGAAGTTTAATAGTAGCAAAGACGAGTTTGACCTCTTCTCCACGTGACCAGGAGAGGATACACTTAGGACACTTGGTTTGGGCTAGAATAGTGCAGAATGAATGAGGAAGCAAGAACAGAACCCGTGTAAGAGGACAAACTCAGCAGTGATCTTGTGTTGGGGGAGGGGCCTCAAACCTGACAAATAAGAAATCACTGGTCCAATGAGATTTGGCTTTTGCGACAAGTGGCAGACTCTAATGAGATGTCCAATGAAATAAAAAGCTGGCAAGTGCTTCCATAAGAACCATTGAGTTAAGAAGAAAAGAAATCCTTGTAGGTGCCTTACAGAGATGGTGTTTCAAGTTTTTTTTAGGGGGCCAGTGTTATGTCACAGCAGGGTAAGCCAACACCAGTGAGGCTAGATGCTCCATTTCCAATCCAGCTTCCGGCTAATGCTGGGAGGCAGCATGTGATGGCCCAAGTACTGGGGCCCCTGCCGCCCGTGGGAGTCCTGGATGGAATTCCAAGCCTCTGGCTTTGGCCTAGTTGTTGCAGCCATTTGGGGAATGAACCAGCAGGTGGAAAATATCTCTCTCTCTCTCTCTCTCTCTCTCTCTCTCCCCCCCACTCTCTGTAACTCTGCATTTCAAATAAATAAATTAATTAAATAAATATTTTTAAGGAAAGAAATGCAGAATCCCAGGCTCCCTCTGCAGATCACCAAATAAGAATCTGCATTTTAATATGAGCTACAGGAGGTTTGTGTGCACAACAGTTTGAGAAACATAGGTCTGGGTTATGCTGAAAAGACACCAGTGAGCATTGTGAAGCATGTGTGTTTGGTTTATGAAAACCATAGAAGCGATATTAAAATATGGTGAGTATTTTATGTCTTTACTTCTTCATCAACTAACAGATCAACCTCAGCACCTGCCCAGATCCCTCTCTTGGAATTGCTGTATTTTGTTGTAGAACAATATGTCTTCTCCACTCACATTCATGAGTTCACTGGGAGTAGAGATAAAACCCACATCTCTCAAAATTCTGGCAAGTACTAGCAGAGACTTGGTGTTGGTTCGCAATAGTTGTTCAATACTCAGTTGCATAGTCAACAAGCATATGGCCACTGGACATGGATGAGTAAGAACTCACTCTTCTGAGAGTTTGGCAAAAGGCCAATCAAGTACAAGTAAAGGTTATTGGTAAGTCAGGAACATGTATGGGTAGAGTGGGGTCCAAAGGAAGGCTTGGAGGGTGGTGGGAGTGGCAGTGGGGATTGATAGAGGGATGGCATGAATGTGAGATCTGGAGGGACAGAGGGCTGGAGAGCCCATCTGCATAATGGAAACAGTTTGAGTAGGTGCTTGGTGTGATGAAACAATATGGCAGGTTCAGGAATCCGATGGGAAGTTATACATGGGCATTGTGTAAGTAGGCAGCATTGGATCAAACATAAATACTAGAAAACACTCAGGATGTGGAAGGGTCTTCTTTGTGAGTGACAGACCCTCTGCTGAAGTGTGGGGAGCATCTCAGTGCGGAGTGGTGCCTTGCAGATGCTCCTCGGCTGGGCTGTCTGGAACATTGTTACTCAGATGGAGATGTGCTGTTCTGATGCTGTGTCTAGTCAGGCTGAGTGAAGAATAGCTGCAGTCACCACCCAGTTTATGTGCTCAATGTTTTAAAAAAGTTCCTTGGCGTTTTCTGAGACCTTGTTCAGCTAATTGTAAGTTCATGCCTTTGATGTAAATTTTGGCTTTGGCCTGTAAATCTGTGGGCTGATCAGAATGGAGTAGAGTTTGGCTAATCATTTTGACTCTATTCCTAACCAATACTTCTTACGGGTGAAGTGGTTACTCTAAACTTGTGTCTGTTATAATGAATTCTGAGGAGTGTCTTGCGTGGCTATGATGCGGCTTGGTCTTTGTGGTTTGGGGAGTAGATGGATCTTAGAACTTGCATTTCCATCACCTTATCACTGAGGAGTGGAATGAATCTCAAAGGTAAAAGTTCCTAAGTCCTAAACTATGCTTCTGATGTCTGATTTTCCAATAAATGACCATTAATTAAAGGGCTATTTATAGCATAAGACTGAATCCAATCGGCGAAGGGGAGAAGTAAAGGAGAAAAAAAAATCTCTTTTCTCTAAAGACCTTTTAATTGTTGATGCTGAGCTGTGCTGGTGCTAGATAAATCACAACTCACTTCTAATAGCAAATTTGCAGCCGGCGCCGCAGCTCACTAGGCTAATCCTCCGCCTTGCAGCGCCGGCACACCGGGTTCTAGTCCCAGTCGGGGCGCCGGATTCTGTCCCGGTTGCCCCTCTTCCAGGCCAGCTCTCTGCTGTGGCCAGGAAGTGCAGTGGAGGATGGCCCAAGTGCTTGGGCCCTGCACCCCATGGGAGACCAGGAGAAGCACCTGGCTCCTGCCATTGGATCAGCTTGGTGCGCCAGCCGCAGCGCGCCAGCTGCAGTGGCCATTGGAGGGTGAAAAAGCGGCAAAGGAAGACCTTTCTCTCTGTCTCTCTCTCTCTCACTTCCACTCTGCCTGACAAAAAAAAAAAAAAAAATAGCAAATTTGCCAGATTAGCTACTGCTTTCTAACTAGGGCATTGATTTCTCAGAAGCTCAGACACTGAAAGAAATAGGTTTTTCCTGACAGACATAAAGGGTTCAAGTAGTATCTCTCTCCTTGGACAAGAAGATATGTGTGGGAGACACTGCAGTGGCATCCTGGTCCTTATGGTTTGACACTGGGTCACGAACTCAGAGAATGACTGGTGGCAAAACAAAAATCTCTCAGCCTTGGGTGACTGGAAGTCAAGTAGGTAACAGGAACCCAGAGCTGTGGGCAGGAAGTGTTCAGCTCTTTTTAAGGTTTCACTACATTTCCCTCCCTACAGTATTGGGAAAATGAAAACCTAATCCTCCCCCTGCACCGCAACCAGTCTCTATTAGAAACTAACGTGCACAACGTAAGGCAGCAAACTTCAAAGCCTGATGCCAAGACAAGAATGAGGATTATGGCGTGGAGCAGAAGGGTAACAGGGGGCAGCTAGTATCTCTAACCCTAACCCTAACCCTAGCCCTAACCCTAGCCCTAACCCTAACCCTAACCCTAGCCCTAACCCTAACCCTAACCCTAGCCCTAACCCTAACCCTAGCCCTAACCTTAACCCTAACCCTAGCCCTAACCCTAACCCTAGCCCTAACCCTAACCCTAACCCTAGCCCTAACCCTAACCCTAGCCCTAACCTTAACCCTAACCCTAGCCCTAATCCTAACCCTAGCCCTAACCCTAACCCTAACCCTAGCCCTAATCCTAGCCCTAACCCTAACCCTAACCCTAACCCTAGCCCTAGCCCTAACCCTAACCCTAACCCTAACCCTAACCCTAAGCACCAGATTCGCAGATGCTTTATTTGCAAATCAACAAATCCATCACATTTCTCATTCATGTTTCAAAAATCTGGAAAGAAAGACACTGGATGAGAATGCTCATCTTTGCTCTGACCAGAACAGTGGGAGCAAGTGCTACGGAGAAGTGGGTAGGAAGAGTTCTGTCTCTGGTAACCCAACGGGGAAAGGACTCTGTGAGACACCACCAATGGGAGGGAGTGGGTTCTTCAGGAGAAACTGAACAGAATCTTAAAGGAAAGAGTAGAGTCCAATTATCCTAACAAAGCTTGTCTGCCTCTGCAGTGAAACTTCATTCCTCATGCCAATCCCCTACAAGGTAGAGGAGAGCAGGCGCCGTGAAGCACGTTGACTTCCACTTGACATCAGAGGAGAAATAAAACTAAGCTTATATGGAAAACAGACTCGAGATTGCTCTGTTTGAGTCCACAGAATACCTGGAAAAGATCTGTGTAAGAATGATCAGGAAAGAAGACCAAAAAACATCGGGGGAGTGGGAGATGGGGCGAACAGATCGCGAAAACAACTATGGAGGGAAAAATGAACGACTCACAAAGTCTTAGGAGGTCCCAGACCTAAAGAGAAGAAACCGAGGACCAAACCACATTTTAGCAGGACTAACACTAATACACAAACTGCAGGAAACAGGCTAGACACTGCTGAAAATAAAACTAAAGACATGGAAGACAAGTCGAAGAGAAGTAGAGAACATGCTAATGAAATACGCTCATTATTAAGAGGGCTGCTAACAGTTATGAAGGACAAAGATGACAGAACGGAAAGATAATTGCTGTCCTTAGAATAGAGATCCCAGGCTGTTGCCGCAGCTCACTAGGATAATCCTCCACCTGTGGCGCCGGCACCCCGGGTTCTAGTCCCGGTTGGGGCCCTGGATTCTGTCCCGGTTGCTCCTCTTCCTGTCCAGCTCTCTGTTGTGACCTGGGAGGGCAGTGGAGGATGGCCCAAGTGCTTGGGCCCTTCACCCCATGGGAGACCAGGAGGAAGCACC